CTATGATTCTATGATCCTATGATTCTATGATATTCCTAATATGGAATGGAATTTCAGTTAGTTACAGTTCTGATCTTGAGATACTGTTTGAAAAATTCACTCTGTAATTTCCTCTAGGAAAGGAAGGAATAATAAACATTACCATCATCATTATCATCAATCCAGTTTTACTCGTGCTTAGAACAACAGCTTGAAGGACCATAACAATAAAGATTTGAAATGGGTACCTTGCAAGATGCAGCACAAAATGGTGCTAAGTCTAAAATCAATGGGAAATCCACATGCCTATTCACTTTCCGTAGACTCAAACCAGCCTTCAAAAGAAAAGGAAAAATGAAGACTGTAAAATAAGTATTTTTACTATGAAGCATTTTAAAGCTAAGGTGTATTATTATAGTATTAAAATAAACCAAAACCAGTAATAAGATTCTAACTGATTTAAACATTTTTTGTTACGCTTTCAATACAATGCCTGCTACACATAAGCATGATGGACACATAAGAGGTTTCCCTGGATACATCTGAATGGCTAAATGCACTCTGAAGGATTAGACAATCAAAAAAAAAAAAATAGGCATGTTTCAGATAGTGGTTCTCCATATAAAAAGCAAGTATCAATGTACACAACACCACTGAAAGAATTGCTTGTCCACCGGTGGGGCAGAGGAATATACAGCAGGGTTCTGGCCTTTTACCTGGTGGAATCTTTTCAGATGGAGAACAAGAATAGCAGGAACTGAAGAAATCAGCAGCTGTTTCCGAGCATTTGTGTAGACACCTTCCATTTTCTTTTCTGTATTTATGAATATCAAAATAATTTGTAAAGTGAAAGCAGTCACACAGAATTTAAGTATTTCTTAAACATTTGACAGAATAGTTCTATGTTGCAATGATTTTGTGCATGTTATATAAAATGCAAGGAAAAGAGTAATAGAAAAATACTTTCTCTTTTTTCTAGTTTTTAATAAACACAATTTGCCAAATCTGAGCATTATTTTAGCTCTTTCTGTGCAAATCAGATCAAGAGTTGGAAGCATGTACACTATCAGGTCAGCTTGCACACTGAGATACCTACATCATCTGTTACTATAGCACCCAACTTGCCTGTTAAAAGCATTTCACCTGAAATTAATGGACAATCACAGGAAGAAGAACTGTAAGACACAGGTTTCCTATCTATGCTAATGTCCTAACCCTTAAGAGATTCATTTTGCATCCTTCAGTTCTTTCTGAATGACTACATATTTTGTGTTTATTTAAAAGAAAGGTCTGAGGAGCAGTGTCTACTTCAGGAGGCCTCATAACCTGCTGGCTTAAGCACACAGGACTGGGATATGTGGACTCCAATCTCCTCTGGTGCAGACAGAATTGAACCTGGGGCTCTTGCCAAAAGTAGCTCAGTGATTAGCCATACTGTAAAAGGGAATGTGCCAACAGCATTTTTTTTTCTGACAAAAAGTAATTTCCTGGTTTTACACATGTCCAGAGGAAAATATTTCATCTGAGGTAGAATGGAGCATTTCAAGTAAAAGCAGGTGATTTCTTACATCTTTTGTTTTAGAAAGATAAGAATAATGCTTAGTTGTGAACACATTTTCCTCTTCCCTTTTTCACTGTGCCTGTGGAACCAAAACATTATTATACAGCACTTACTCTCAGACTAATAATGAATGATTATAAAATACTACGCTTAGATTATTTTTTCTGAATTTAGTCATGCTTAAATTGTATCTCTCTAAACAGCTATAAATGCACAGCAAATGGGCAATTTTTTGTTACTGTAAGACCTCTGTTTATATTTTATTTACAAATTATCTGAAGAGCTTAATTTTTTATCCTTCTGAATAACCATACACCGAAAAAAATCCTCCAGTCCTTTTTAATAGTTTATTTTTCATCATTTTAATATGTTTTTTCTCACTTGGTGAACCCTAATGGTCTGCCTGGGCTACATAAATGTCAAGGAAAGCATTGTCACAAGAAGGTAGTTCTCTCTCATCTCCATCCTTACAAATCTTTGTGTTTCCCCCCCCTCTGCATCACAAGTGTCTTTTCTGCCCTCTTACATACTTAATTACATTACTTCGCTGAGGATGCAAGTTGCTAGAGCTGAGTATTACATACAGCATTTATTTTAAAGCTTCTAGGATTGTAAAGAACAGAAACAGCAGGGAAGATTAATATCGAATGATGTGTCTGTTCAGTTTATGGCCATCTTTAAATTACTTATCTTGTATAAAATAAAGAAAAGCTGCAAAATTAATTCTAAGTTATATCTACGATTATGTTCTAATTTAAAATTTTGTCTGCCCTTGGCAGGATGAAGTTTTTACCAGTTCTGCTTGGGGAGATATTTCCTATTTAGCCACAAGGGGGAGGCCCATGCTGGAGCAATAACACAGCAAACCGGGGCACAGGTTTTGAGAGGCAATTTTGTGAAGCGTCCAGACAGATACAAGCACTTTACCTGTGGAGTTGGTTTTCTTCTGATACTTCTGTTTCCTCTCTGTGCAGCTCTCACATAAGAGCTTGTTGTTCCCCATTAGGAGCTCCACAGAGGTGAACTGGTAGAGGCAGGACTGAACAGAACATTCCTTTGAGCTAGTTATGTAGCTTTGGGAAAGCGTCTGGAAAGCATTTTGAGGGTTTTGGGACAGTGGGGATTTGTCTACTGAGAACATGGGGTTATTTGATAAACCTGTTGATGGATCTCCACGGCTCAATTTTTTATCCTCATGTATAGTATCACATAAGCTGAGTTTGGATATGGCACTGGAAATCATCTCTTCATTACTGTCACTTGGTTTGTTGTGGGGCATTTTAACATTTATGTGGTTGACATGCAAACCAGACATGTTGCTGGACAGGCTGAAAGCTGTCTGCTTAGAAGCACTTTCGCTTTCTGAGGCTTCACTGTCTGCATCAAAGCTGCTTTCAGAGCGGCTGGCTTCCTTCTCGCTGCCATCCGTCTGACTTCCATTTACAGCAGAGTCAGCAGTTGTGTCTTTGGAACACAGAACGCCAGAGCCACCTTCCAGCTCAAGCTTTTTGCTTTTTTCCTGCATTATAACAGGACTTCTTTCTTCTTCATTCGAGGAAGCTTTTCTGGCAAGCCGTCTTTCCTGATTCAACTGATTCTGTAAATTATGGCATTATTATTTCAGTAATATAGAGGAGAAACAGAGAACAGATCTCTGATCTAACACAGCTTTGAAACATGACCAATTCAAAGCAAATTCAACCTATTACTTTATATTCTCCATCTCTCACATGTTTAAGCTAGTTGATTTCCTTAAGATCTTTTTAAACCAATTTGGGATTAGAAACCTACACCCCAGCCAGCTAAGAGCATTATACTTACTGCAAGATCAATACTTCCCCCTCAACTAATGACATTCACTTTGACAGCTGTGATGGCGCATTTAAAATGGTAGTCACTTAATCTAACTTAAGCTTCTAAGAGGTTCTTAAGTTTAAACTAGTCCCGTAGCCTCCCTTCAGAGGCCTTTGCAGCTCCAGAAGAAAATCCAACTTACCTTGTAGGCATTTTTCTTAGAATTAAATAAAGCATCCCTGGCAGTATGTTTGCTAATTTGTGTATCATCTGAAGTTGCTTATTTTTTTTATTTTATCGAGATTGCAAGAAGGAAAAAACACCCCAAACCACTACCTTTGCTGCCACAGAGAACTAGTAGTATAGATCAAAAAACCCCAATGCTGCCATAATTTAGGTGATTTATAATCATTCATGGTTCTTTTCTTTCTTTCGTTTGGCTGCTTTCCAAAAGAAATTAGCAACTTTTTTTCCCCTTTGTCTTATAAGTAGCAAAGAGGGAGAGGAACTTGCTCCTCATTTCAGGAGAAAAGCCTAACAAGGAGTGTTCAGGTATTCTGTTAGTTTACAAAACCACCTAAAGGACACCCCCCGGTTTCACAAGCAAACTTACAAACTGATAAACTGAAGTCACAGATCAGCAAACACTGACTGAATTTAACAATTGTTTGTTTTGGATTAGAAGTTTACTGCAAAACAGATCTATTACACTGAAAATAATAGTAATAAAGGACTAAAATAATGATAAATACGTATCTGAAAAGAAAGAGAGGGAGCAGAGTATCAGAAAGCCTCAAGAATTAGACAGACATACTTCACAGGTCAGTTTATCTGTTCTTACTGAAAGCAGAGTTGTTGCTTCTTTCGTATTAGTCCATCTAGTCTAGTTTATTGAATGATACTATATGTTATTTTCTTACTTTTAAAACATTTCAGTAATTGTGTTTGCATTTATAAATATTAACACTATTATTCACACTGTGTTGGATTTTTCCATGTCTCTTGTAGTATAGATTCTAACTGGCCACATAACCTTATATGGCCGATAAGTCTTATTAAAAAGAAAGTGTTAATAAGGACAGTAAGACCTTTGTCACATTTCATTAACAATAATGTATGTCCCAAGAGTGTCTGCTGGCTGTACTATTTTTGGTTTGCCCACTGCCAACTAATCTCTTAGAAGGCACTAGCGCAGACTTCTCTCTTAGCTGGCACAGTGTTCTTCTGACTGCAACCAGAAACTAACTACAAGGACACCAAAAGAAAAGCAGTTAACAAAAAAAGCAACATGATTTCAAACTAACTTGCAGTTATTTTTTTTTACTTACAAATGAAACCCTATAACAAAAAATTAAATGATTCCCTGTCTGTCATTTCTCACACTTCTAATAATGACCTAAATATTTTAAAACAAGTCTACAGCAGCTATATGTACACAAAAAATCCCCATTGATAGGTGTCCGAATTCCCACCCCTCAGCCACAGAAACTTCAGAATAAACTCAAGATTTAGTGTATTTAAATTCTTACCTTATCTTTTGGTAAAGCATGTTTCTTGACAATTTTGGGTTGATTATTCAGTGTAGTGACAGAAGAACAGTTATACTGACCAAGATCTGCCTCTTGTGCACTTTTACCTTTACCTGTTCTTCCCAAAGGCACAGGTTTTGCAACCTAAGAAATTAGACAGGAAATCAGGGAAGGAAATATGCCAATTTTGTATTCCTTTGCAACCTAGATGAAAGATGAATGTAGGTGGGTTTTTTCCATTTACTTTAGAAAACAGTAACCTACATAAATCCAGCTAAATGGTGCCTGAATTGTTGTATAAGACTACTTTCTCATTTTATTTATCATAAACTCACTATCAACATCTTTGAAGGATAACTGAGAGCCAAAAATATGAATGATACAAAATTCCTGTATACAGAACACATACCAAATAATCTATTTTCGTATTGTATAAGCACATGCATAGCTGTATGAGTTGTGAATTCATCAAACAGGACATAGCTCCTTGTAGGTCAGTCTTTGGTGCACTCTACCACCTTATGACATGATGAAGGAACTGCTGCACGTCCTCCATCACACTAATGGCAGCAGCATATCTAGACTATAAAGGAAAGAGATGACCATAAAGTAATGCACGTCCTCAAGTAAGTGCAGTGACTGCTAAAAAAAATCATAGAATAATAGAATAGTTTGGGTTGGAAGGGACCTTAAAGATCACCTACTTCAATCCCCTGCCATGGGCAGGGACACCTTCCACTAGACCAGGTTGCTCCAAGCCCTGTCCAACCTGGCCTTGAACACTGCCAGGGATGGGGCAGCCACAGCTTCCCTGGGCAACCTGTGCCAGGGTCTCATCTCTGATATGTGAGGAATTACCTATGAAGTATTTGTCTGCTTCTAAAATTAATTTCTTGCACATAGAAACATACAGCTAAAACATTAAAGTTGAACTATCATATATAATTAATATATTTCAAAAGCCAGCAAGTCTCTCTCTCAAACAGAACCCATGAAGATCCCATGTTACATGTGTGAGCCAGAAAGCATAAGAGCCCAGGTACTCAAAAAGCTCTTAAAGCTTTAACTCCCACAGACATCTGCACTCAATGCAGCAACAAAGATGAAGAATTTATTATGAGCCAAATTGGTGTTTAGAGAAGAGTACACTTTATACAGGGTTAAATATTACATTAAATACTCTTCCTTAAATATACATGAATATATGCAGGATGGGGGAAGAACCACTCCCATCCCACCACTCCTACTCTCAAATGAAAACCCCAAGTCTCTCAAGCCAGTGTGTGTGTATATATATAAACATATACAGTTCCTCTGCAGCTAATGGAAGCATTTTGTGAAATGCCAGAACCACCAGAATATATTCAAAGCCTATCCATTTTTACACTGTCTCATCCTGCAGGTACACTTCAGCTCAAGGGACTCGTGTTCTCTAGATGCAAACCCATATGCTGAATCTACCTTTCTGAACCATCAAAAAAACCCCAAAATTTATAGTCATTCTATTCATGTAAGTATACACTAAAACTACTACCAAATTAAGCTCATCTGAAACCTACATATAATGTAAATTACTATGGTCATTTGTTGCAAGTTTGGACTAATTTAAAAATATATGCACTTAAGACATTGTATGTCTATATATCTATTTAAAGTCATATAATCAACAGACATATGACAGTAAAAACATACATTTTTAGGCTTGCAATCAGAACTGTATATACATAAACATATTTATAAAGGTATGTAAACACTATCCACTGAAAGCAATAGTTACTTATTCTGTTTCTTACCCTCTCCTCTATTATAGGTAGTGAAAGATCAATGAAAGGTTCTTTTACTGTTGAAATCTTGAAGAAAAAGAGAAAATGCATATTAAATGCAAAGAACATTATACAGATTTAGCACATAGCTCCCTTTTTAAAATCAACTTATCAGAAACTATTAAAAAAAAGCTAAATAGTTACAAGTGTATCAAACTACAATGAAGAACTTCCCACAGACTTTATTTATTTATTTATTTAAAGATAGTTCTGATTTTCTCTCTAAGACTGCACAAACTTACAGCATACAGACAAAAAGGGGCAAGGCCATTCATGTGGGCATGAACTAGAAGCAATGTGATGCTCAGTTTCTCTGAGCTCCAGACAGATTTTCAAGTCATGTGGGCCTTCTAAAGGGTACAGTCCCGCAGAAAGCTATCTTAGAGTTTCCTGATCCTGGACACTTTTGTGCAGGCATTTGACCTCATACACTATTAAGCAGCAAGGACTGGTTAATGACAGTTAATGACAGGTTCCCATCTGATCATCTCAGAAAACATTAAGGCAGGCTTACTGGTTGCAGCCAAAAGATTTAATAAATTTTTTCATACCATAACATACTCTAGTAATTGTTAAAATAAATCCAACTACTGGGGAAGAATGGAATGAAAAAACCAACTAACCAAAAACCCTTCTTCCTTTTCTGTACTTAAATTTTGTCATGGCTTATAGAAGCCATACATAATCTAAGCAGAAACTGGAAATAACCTGGCAAAGCAACCTGAAGAGATTTTCTCTCAGCACTTCCCATCTGCCTTTATGACTAGAACATCCCAACCAAGCCTGTTCCTTAAGCTCTCTCCCTTGCCGTTCTCAAACTCCTTCCAAAACTGACTTATCTACCTCTGGAAAGACTCTGAAAAATAAGGCCTTAAAAACCAAAAAAATAAAAATCACCTAAATGTAAGTTACTGAATACAGTCATGCCCTCAATTACTGTCATCATTGTCCTTATTTTTGTGACCCTATGTTCCACCTGTGACATTTGATACAGACTGTAGGCTTATTTTTACTTTTGTGTGAGAGATGCAGCCTGGTTTAGTTCCAGTAAAGTAATAAATGAGATCAAAACCACTGTAACTACGATGGCTGACTGCCTAATGAGAGATGTTCAAAAAGGGGTTCCTCTAAAGAGTGAGTTTGCATGAACAAACGTTAGTCAAAAACATGTTTGCCAGTGTGGGCAAAGGAAAGTGAATGCTAAACTTTTCCTCAGAGGGTTACAGCTAGCAAATTCCCGAGTCCTGTGCAGGCAGAATGTAAGAATCCAACAAAAATAAATGAGACATGCAAAATACATACAACCTCTATATTTTACGTAGTCAAAGTTCTTCATTGATACTAGTAGCACAGTGAGGTACAATCTGCACATCGCACACAGGGACGTTTACCTAGCACTGCAGGACTGTGCTTAATTATTCAGATTGATTTACTTAATCTCTATTATATGAAATACAATGTTTTAAACCAAACACAAATGTAACATTCAATTAGAAAAGTCATGCAAATAAGAGTTTTCTCTTCCAAAGTTAAAGAAAATTATAAGGATCATGGAAAGCATTTATGATGAAATGTCAGTAATATTAATTATGAAAGGAATATGCTGTTCGTTAGGTTATTATGTTAATCATCAAAAATACTTCAAGAAAATAAAAGGTAATTTTAGCATTTCCCCACTCAGACTAATTCAAAGTAATTCCCAATTTTCAGTTATATCCCAGAAGACCAGGCAGGAGGATTTACATTTTAAGACAGGTATGTGTTTTAAAAATACCAAATAAAATTGGGGTGTAACACAGATGATTACAGAATTTGGAACCTCCAGCCTTAAGTTAGATGTAAAATCAATCCCAGTACTTGGATCCTTTTTGAATTCAAAGGACCCCTCTTCTTATGTTTGGGAGGATAATGCTTTAAAGAAGGAATAAATCATTTTAAATGAGAAACTTTCAATAAAGTCTTGTTTTTACAAACAAACAAACAAGTATAAAATTGGCAGTACAATTTTATACTTTCAAGACAACGTAATCAAACCAGTATGTGATCTATTCCACATCAAACCAAATTCCAGAATACCTACATTTTCACATTCCTCACACATGACAGTGCTAGTCAATTCACCAACAAAGATCCTATCTATGAAGTTCATCTTCACACCCTCTCTTCCATATGCTGAAAAAACATTGCCTTTTTTAAATGTGAAAAATAACAGATCCAATGCCACACTATAAGTACAACAAAATTCTTTCCAAGATATATTATGAAAGCACAATTTTTAAACATACTCAAAACGTTTTGAACACAATACAATAACTAATACATCATATACTGTATTATCTCAACATTTAAAACTGTTTTAGAGAGATGGGTCCCTTTTATCCTTCCCTTCCCCACCTACTGTAACACAATAATAATACTGTATCACTCAAGAAGAACTCTTTAAAACAAAATTTCAATTTTCTTTTTAATGTATTACTTTGACAATACATTACACTATGGTAGCAGACAAGTTGCCACCCTTTTTAAATGTTTTTTGAAACTATAAAACTGTAAAAAATGAGACAAAAGCCTGTTCTGCTGTCTCTATGCCTTAGCTTCCGCAGATTTGGGAAAGGTGACTTTCAAAATAGCTTAATCATTATTAAGACTTCAATTAAAAAAAAAAAACAACCCATAATTAGAACTTTTGCATAAATAGAAAAAATTAATTGAAAAACTGATTTTAAGAAAACATGCCTTCTTTTGAAACAACTTATCTTGGCTTTGTAATCAGATTTAGAGTGCTCACAGTATCTGCAACAACTATTTCTGACAGAAATCAGTGTTATTTCTGGATGCAGCAGGCTATTTTAGAAAACAAAATTAAATTCTATCTATCATTAAAAGAGGCAGTATTAATACAGTGGAAGCCTTTATACTGGACATGAAGATGTAAGTCAGCCCATACAAAGCTCTCTATACTTCAGATACACACTGGGTGGCACTAGAATAAAACGTAATAGAAGTCATGTAACTACAGTACTTCAGGACTGCTGTTTGCAATAGTCAGTTTTGAAGAAAATGGTATTTAAAAACTTGTGTATTTTTAGAAGTTTTCAATAAAGAGTTACATACCTTTGACTTTTCTTCTGGTTTCTTCATCTGCTGTCTTAGTAGTTGGATTATTAAATGCTTTTAAGATACCAGTTTGTATACGCTATAATTAAAAGAAAAAAAGCCAAAACATTTAGTAAGTATTGTAAGTTTAAATATTCTTAAAACTATTAATATGTTATTAGATTTTATCTTATTTCCATGCAATAATCGTAATTCAATGTTTTTAAACTACTGTTATTCACTAACAGTGTCAAAGCTTAACTTTAGAAAGTAAGGATCCAAAAATTTCCTCCCCTTAAAAAGGGAGCCATTGTAAAGCACTTGATAGGTTATTAAGAAACTATGAGTTTTTCAGTAAATAAATCCATTTCAGTAAATACTATCCATTTCTTCCACTGTTGGGGATAAAATATACACTGAAGAATGGACTATTACGGATGGACTAGGACACAAAATACTTGAAGGCAGCTAAGTATCTTTTAACAGCCAGTCTTCGATGTCTCTGTTTGGGAAGTATTTTTATTACTTCTGCTTATCTTCTAACACAGCACAGTTCAGAGTTATGTTAGAAAACCTTAGGAGAGACAGGAGACTTTTTATGAATCCATATAAACGTCATCAACATTTGCTCAAGAAGTCCTAAACCCTACAATTTTGAAAGAAGGATCAAAAAGAAGCAAATTCATACACGTGAGCAGGTATGCCCTGGGACAAGGAGATGCTGTGTTCCTGAGAGATGTACCCTAGCAGTGGTACAAAAAGCAGCTCAGCCCTACCTCCAATGTGCTGTGGAGAGGGAAGCGGGAGGATGAATTGGGTTCCCTGACAGGAAACCACAGCGTGCATGACCTGTACTTCCCTTTTTCCAAGCAAATGTACTGGCTCTCCAATCCACAAACTCTAGTAACCTGTACAAGTCTACCATGCTGGTGTGCAAATCATGTTTATATGTAAATGTGTCGCTGAAGTCACACTTGGAGCAAAGTACCATTCTAGAGATAAATGGCAATACCAAACCTTCTGCAAGTAACTCAAACCCTATGTCCTAAGAGGAAAAGGACAATAAATAGCTCTTGTTTGCAGGCAGCAAAGTACACTTTCAAGCCATACATCACAAAAGCGTCAGAATGACAGGCAGCGTTGGAGGTTTGGTTTCCAGTTCAGGCACCCATCAGACCAAGTCAAACTCCGACCTTACGAGTATGTGACCTGGCTTGTGAATTAACTCCCGCTGCCCCGAGCTCAGCTTTGTTCATCTTAAAGCCAACAATATACTAAAAGGACTAATCAATAGGTAATTCATGAAGTTGAGCACCATAAATGGGTTTAGGGCCATAAGCAACCCTTTTGTTGGGATTAGCGCGTTGAACCATTTATTTAGGTCAAAGAAAGACACAGTCTTTGAATGGGCAGGGTGCTGCGGACAATGGCAGCAGACATTAATCAATTAGCAGCAGGGTTCAGCCACTTCAGGCCCCGGTGTGAAACCATCTCCAGCCCACATTGCTGGAAACAGCAGACGCTATGTCATCTTTATTGTAGTATCGACAAGCTTTTATCTTAAAAGTCCACTGGTGTACATATGCACTTGCTAACTTTTTTTAATGGAGATAGGAAAACGTTCAATGCTGGTGTTGGATGCAAGATACAAAACCAGAGGAGAGGCAAAAGTGTAATGTGACTTTTTGTCAGTTCCTATAACTAGTGCCATGTTACACGTTATGTTTATTTCTCATCAAAACTCTTAGGGTTTAAAAACAATGAATCCGGTAGGGATAGGGAAGCAGGGACGGCTGTACAGGTTCAGCTCTCTCGCAAAGCAGCTGGCTGCCCTTTCAGTGGGGACATTGCTTCTTCTGAGAGTGAAGTTTAAAAGTGGCGTGGAAGAGAAAGGTTAGTGGCTGTAACCCCTGCTATAGGTCTTTGGTGGCAGACGCACTGCTGCAGGCTGTCCCCAGCCAGAGCATCCGTGGTGGGGAGACAACGGAGGCAGCTGCCGGGCTCCCGTGGCCAGCAGAGCTGCTCCTGCCTGTGTCCGGCTGGCACAGGCCTAACATTTGGTGTTTGTCACACCATCTACAGACCTGAAACCCAGGATAATTACAATAAATAAAGTCAGAGCTTTTACTTGTACTGTCCACAGCAGAGCAGCCTGAGGTGACAAAGACTGTTTGCAGTGATGCACCATTAGGGCAGCAGAGGGGTGTAATTGCAGGGACAAACCTGCAATTGGTGATGGGATGGCAGAAATACTGCCCCAAAAGTCATTTAAAATTCCCACCGGCTTTCATCTCTCCTTTGTGGCAGCTCTGTAGCTGTCATTGCTCTCTAATAATAAAAGATTCAAAAGGAAAATACAAAGGCAGGTTATCATAATGACGGCATATTCACTCGTGAAACAGGAGACTGATTTGAGGGGAAAGCACAGTCACCTACTGGAGAAGCTTGGTCATTGTAATAATTCTGCTTTCAGTGAATCCTTGTTTGTGAAGCAAATAGAGTTTCAACCTTTTATTACATGAAAATCAACAAAGAAGATAATAAAGATTCCCTCTAAGGCAAAAAACGTGACAACCACTGTCTACCTGAAGTCATCTGCTTCTCTTGTGTGCCCTGTTCAACACATAGTTTTGTAAGCGTGACAATGTCAAAGGTCAGCTTTTTCTCCCTGTAGTTCAGTTCTGTTTATGATCAAGTATACTGCTGTATATGTATATTAGTATTCTGGCAGGATGGGATTTGTTCAGCACTATTCTAGTGCCAGGAACTGGACTTAGACACAGCTTTGTACCTTATCTGCAAGATAATTCAGCTCAGGATCATGACATTCATCGCATTACCAAGTGGAGGGAAGAGGAAGTACACTGGTCAATACAAGATTTAAGGCCCTCCTTTTGAGGAGACTTGACAAAGGCTATTTACCAAAATATCATCTGAAAAGGAGGGTGCAAGACTAAGACAGCTGAAATGTGATATGGTCAAAACAGTTCAAGAAAGCAAACACACACTTTCTTGCATTCAACAATGCAGGAGGCAGAAATAATGAAGGAAAAAAACCCACACAAACAAACAAGCAAACAAAAAACAACAACAAACCCACACAGGGACATATGTCATGTAATTAACTGCTTATATACTTGGCATACTTAAAAGCAGATTTTAAGTAATGAAAAGCAGCACTTTACTTAAAAAACAACTAGTTCTTCACACTTTCAAGAGGATACCCCTCGAAGCCTTTTTTGATCCTTTTTTTTTAAACACAAACAATTGAGATTCCTAAAGTAATCATGATCTACTTACCATACTCTTTCTAATCCTGACTGAAATCGTAATTCCTATCAACGTCTTTCAAATAAAGTCATTATTTTTCTCAAAATAACAAAACCAGGCGCTTTTACTTCATTAAGTACATCTTTAAAACACTGGGAACATATGAAGAACATTGAAGCAATGACTAGTAGTTCACGATACAGTCAAATAAGTTCTTTAAAAACACAAAGACATTACCTTTGTTTCTTCAATCCTCATTGCATCTAACAGATAGTGCAGAAGCTCCTGGCTGTCCTGCTGCTGGAAGCCCTTAAATCGAGGAGCCCTATGAAAGAAGCAGTAAAGAATTTACACTGACCTTGGGAGGTTCTTAATGAGACAATGTCTATATCAGACTCTTTCGGAGGTCAGGGGCACAAACAGGTAAAATCCCTGCTGGTACTTGGAAGTTCCTGGTGTGGCAGCAATTACACCAACAAGGCTGCACTTCAATCTGAGTAGCATTTTGACCCTGTTGGGTATAGCTTGACTAAAATACAGCTTTGCCAGTAGAGATTCATCCATGCTATCAGCACCTTCCTGACAGTCTACATCAGCAGACAGCCATCATCGCTGTTCAAAAACTGTAGATTCCTTTTTTTACCACTCACTGCAGCATAGATTACACAGGAATTACGAAATACACTTATAATTACATGGATAGATCCTTACGGTGTTATCCTTACTAAGATAACCATGGCTAGAAGGCTCCTCGCAAACAATTTGGATCTCCAGCTTCTTGCAACTCCAAGTGAGGAATTTTATCAAACTGGCAGAGCAGCCAGAGAAACCAACCACCAACTTTGGATACTCAGTTTTATTAAACGCACACTGAGCCAGTTTTCATTTCCAGCATCAAACTGTGCTCTGGATGACCAGTACATCGAGCTGTAAATACGTGTCAGTATTTCCTCCAGGCACAATGATCTTACTTGCCCACCAGACATGCTCTTCAGCTGCTGTACGTGTCCTGAAGGTGAGGTTTCTCTCTCTCTCACACACTAAAGCTGCTCAGGTTGGCAGCTTGTGCTCATGGATAGGAGATATTAATGGCAATCAGAAAATGCATCAGATGTGCAATGTGCCTACGATACTAAAACTCTGAGCTGGACAAGATGTCAAGATGCAAAGTTGGGCAGAGTGACTCTGAGCTACAGGCAGGAGAGTGATACAAGGGTCTCAGTTCTGAACTGCTTGCTGAAGGCACTGAGGGATGTAACTGGAGAAGGATCTAAGGTGACAAGGCAGCTAAGGTCAGTACCTAAAATTAAGTGGAATCAATCTGGACCTGCACACACAAAACAACGTGTTCACATTTACAAATACAACACTCACATTTGTACTTTGTATCTACTTTTTGACATAAAGTTGACAATATCCCTAGTTTACAATGATTTAATGATGCTTACTATAAAACCTGGAATCAGCAGAGTGGTTGATTTTCTTAAGCATTCTCTTTAAAGTCATTTTTTTTTGCATGTGCAGGTCAGCCTAAAACATCCATTTCAAAATTAATTTAAAATAAATAAATTATACTTTAAGAGGGACTCCTCTTAAAAATGAAGTATTTTAGTTTAATATTATGAAATATTTTTTTCTTCTGTTAAAATGTTTTATTTCCAATTAATTTGATTATAAACCCCAAATACATCCTGAAAAGCACTGAACCTGTATTTTGGATCCAATAGAACTTTCAATATGCATGAAAAAATAAATAACATATGTACCTGCACGCAGAGTTTCACTTTTCAATTTGCTAAAACAGTTTTCTCGTTCATTGTTTCACTGAATGACCAGGAATCTGAAAGAATCTCTTTTTTCTTTTTTTAACCTGGACGCCAAATTCAGTTCACTTCTGAGAAATCTAGTTAGCTAGCTACGGTATTATCATTAGTTTTATGAGAAATGTTCTTGTTTTGCTGAGACAGTGAGAATCAGTGAGCATATTCAGCCTGCCTCCTCTAATATATGCACATTAATAGCTCCAGTATATAGTGAGAAAACAAAATCTTGCATTTATACAACCTGGATCCTGGTACTAATAGGGACTTTTTTGTTTGGGGTGGTTTTTTTTGCCACAGAAGCAGGCCCACTACAAGAGACATTATAGTAAAAAGGAAAGAAAACCAGTAACTACTTGACAAAGAAGCAAGATAAAGTCCACCAGTGCTACAGGAGGTTTTCCTCATTGCAGGCACAGCTCAGAGAGCAACATCTTCAAGGCAAATCAGAAAAAAGCCCCACACGTACCTTTCATTACTGTTTATGGCTTGCAGTGTAACCTCCCACTGATGAACATACAATAATCATTTCAGATGAAAACTGATTTAATAAATGATAGCTCAAGGGAAAATCATTTACCTGTACATTCCATACAGTTTTATTAGTTTAAATGAAAGGGGGGGGGCACAGGGATAAATCACA